ACGAGGTACCAGGTTTCCGTCCACGGCTCAGGGCTCTGTCCTGCACCAGGCAGGAGGACGGACCGGCAGCTGCGGGCAGTCCCCCCGGCTTTGCAGGTTAGGGTGGCATGAAATGTCCCTGGTACAAGCGCCCCGGCAGGCCCCAAAGGACATGCAGGCAGCCTTTGACCCCTGTACCTTGCAGCTAGAGACTGGCTCAGGTCACCCAGGCTGCCCTGAAGGGGCACAGATGGGCAGCTATGCCCGGTCCAGCTCCTCGCTGGGCACTGGCAGGCTCTGGCTTGCTAGCAGAGGACCGGGACAAACAAAGTTTGCAGGGCAGGGAGGTTTTGCCTGGAGCTAGGAAGGCGTTTCCCACGGCCTGGAACAGCCACTTGGCTTCTCTCCGCATTATCGTTTCTTGCCTTTTACTTGATTTTCTTTTGGAGCCGGGTCTCCGGGGCATATGGGAGCAGCTGGAGGCTAGTGGGAGGTGAGCGGACAAACACAGGCCCCTCCTGAGCGAACACTTGGGCAGGCAGGGTCCCTGCAGCACGGCTCAGGGCCCGAGCGCTCAGCTTCAAGTGGCACTTGCTGGCGCTCGGCGCAGACCGAGAGCTGCACTGCGGCTTTGATAAGAGGGGCTGCGGCAGGGCGAGGCGATGGCAGGAGCCGAGCTGGCAGGAAAGGTCGTGCCTGATCTTGGCAGGCAGCGAGGGGACTGGACGTAGCATGTGTGAAGGCCCCAGCCTTTGAGACTCAGGAATTAAGAGCCCGTCCTGGAAAGTGCAGAGACCTGGGCACGAGGAGCCCTGATTAACACAGGTGCAGGATTTTCATTGCACACCGAGGAGTGGGGATCCCCTGCACTGCTCTCCTCTTGCAAGGTGGAGGTTGCAGGTGTGAAGGAATCCTGTTCCGCCCCCCATGTGTCCATCACTCCGGTTGCTAAGCAACCAGCTCGCTGCCTACCTGTCGGACCACAGGTAAGATGGTGGGGATCGCCCGCTCCATCACTTCAAGCCCTGACCTCATGGCACGGGGGCGGGGGGCTTGAGCCATGTCACGCCCTTAGGTGACCGGGATGCTTTTAAAATTGGTTGGCCGGCCTCCACCCACACCTGCCCCGATTGGGTCCACAAGGTGAGGGCAGAGCAGTTATTTAAGGGCCCTCCATCTCGGGGGTGGGAAGAGAGGCATCTTGAAACTCACGGACGCACCGTGAACTGCCCGCCTCCAGGGAAAGCTCAATCGGTCTCTGGACGATACTCGTGACCCACCTGAAACTTATCTAGAAACGTAGCCGAGTGTCATGTAGCCGCGTGTCAAAAGGCGAGCAAGGCGTACAGTTGGCTCTGGGTCATTCTTGAATACTTCCCCAACTTGTATCCCTCCCCACGCCTACCCTCTCTACCCAATGAAGCGATCTGCTATAACAAGCTCGGTGGTGCCTGCAGGAGAGGGATTGGGCACAACTTTTCTGTCCCCTTGGCTCGGCTGACCAAGGGAGGCGACTTTCTGTGCTTCAGGTTCATAGACAGACAAGGTTCCTTGGGTGAATTTGATATCTTTTATTAGACCAACCCAAATAGTTGGAGAATAGTTATTAAGCAAGCTTTCGGGTTCAAAAACCCTTCAGGTTCAGAGAAGCACTTCACGGTCCCAAGTGGTTCCCAACCCTTTTTTGCTGCGACCCTAAACACTGCACCGTTACCTGCCACCGCTGTTAACTGCCGTGACCCTAATGAGGACCCTGATTTGGGTCGCACCCCGAGGTTGGTCTACAGGGCCTGTGTATCCCGGGTGGCACAGGGCCCAGATAAAGGCCTGAGTCCGGGGGTGGCAGCGGTACCCCAGGCGTGCGGGTGTGCTCCAGAAGTTGGTGCCCCTGGGGTGGCGTCCAAAGCCAGGTTTTTGGTGGGGTGCAGTGAAGGGGGTTTCTCGGCACAGGAGTGCCCCCTACTTGCCCTCCACGCAGGAAGCAGTGGGAGTGAAGGCCCGACATCCCGAGCTGCAAACAAGGAGGTCCTGGGCGGCGGTGATCCCACAGCTGGGACTGAACAGATGGGCTGGGAGGCAGGATCCCCGGTACCTGCACCACCGGCCCTGTGCGTGCTCCCGGGAATGCATTGCATGCTGTTTGGGGTGCATGCCGAACAGGGAGCATCGACGTGGAGGGACGCGGATCAGTTGGGCTCGGACCCTTCCAAGCCCGTGCGGCGCTCTAGTTAAGTGCGTGGGTAAGAGCCTACTACAGCTGCTGGCTAGTGGAGCTCCACCTGCAGTACAACCAGCAAGAGTCCCTCGCTGCCTCTGGTTCCCTCCCTGCCGAGGATGAAGGGGGTGCTTGCTTACCTGCCTGTTGCCCCGGGATTGTGTGGGGGCTCCAGGGGCCCCGCGCTTGCAGGGCTGGGGCTGGAAGTTCCCGTGCTTGCTGCGGGAACAGGCCTGGAGCTGAGTAACAGGAAACGTTTGGGCAAGTGTCAGGAATAGACCACGCTTGTTTGTTCCTCTGCTGACTCCACCGCTCCATCCGGCGTTCCCAGACAGCGCTGGAGGTGAGGCCGTGCCTGGCCTGGCTCACGGGAATCAGCCCCAGCTTCCGCTTCCTCCCCTATCTCAGTGCAGACAGGGGCCCCAGCCCTGGGCGTTGTGCAGGCAGATAATGGGGAACAAATACAGCTCTGTGGAAAAACACTCAGTCAAGGCCCCTTCCAGGGCTGGTTGAGGCTCCAGGGCCAGTGGAGGGGAAGGGCAGGGACTGCTGCATCGTCCTGTCTCTTCGGTGCTCTGCGTCTCGGAAACCAGGGAGGCAACGAGCTGGACCGTGCTAGTGGCATGCAGACCCACGGCTGCTGAGCGAGGGTGCTCCACGGGTCCCCCGCCCCAGACTAGCCTCTTGGCACATGGTCTCTCCTCCAGCTGCCTCCTGGCAGAAGTGGAGGGTTACCAACTATTGGTAAATCTATGGACAGTCCGTAAGAAAAGCTTGCAAAATCAGTAAAAAAACCCAACTGAGCTGTCCGTAAAAGCCGAAGAAACCCCGAGCTTGATTCTTCAATCTGATGCGTTGTCGTAACGAGGCTGAATGCAAGCGTTGACAGACGCACCTTGTATCTGAGCAGGAGCATACCTCAGCACCCTGCACGAAGCTCTCCATCGAGGCTTTGGGGTCGTGGGACCCTCTGTAGCCCGCCCCCCTGCATCTGCTGGCCTCAGTGGTAGGAAGCCTGGGGCACCAGATGAGACAGAGGTGGGGAGGAGGCACTTTGCAGCATGGCACCTTCTTTCCCTCTTCCCAAGTAGCCAGCCCCAGGCGAGATGGACCCGGGCTAGCTCAGGTACTGCTGGCAGTGTAGCCATAACAGCTCCCTCCCCGAAAGATGAGGGAATAAATATGCAGGCGGTTGACCTGTGCAGATCTCCTTGCTGCTGCATCTACACGGGTACCGGTACTTCGTTTCAGCGCAGCCCCACGCGTTGTCCGCGCTGTAGCGTGACCAAGCCCAGGCCCATGGGTCACAACACAGTATGCAAAACAGACTGTGACACAAATCCCAGCTCCACCAATTAGGAGACAATTAATAGATCGGGGCCGGATGTGGCAATATCGTTACTCCTGGACCCTCGTCACTCGCGTCTTCGGCGTTGCAGGCTGTAAGGTCTGCACAGAGCGAGCCGTGCACGACTTCCAGGCCAGGACACCCTCAAAGCCAGGTCAGGTCAGGCAGGCACGCGGCTGGGACGGTTTGGCTGGAGATGATCCTGCCTTGAGCAGGGGGCTGGACGAGGCGACCTCGTGAGGTCCTTACCAGCCTGATTTTTCAATGATCCTATAAACTGGAGGAATTAGGGAGGCCCACCGAGTTTAGGGAGATGTGACTGTACATGGCAGCAGGTCTGGGAGGTGTTGTGTAGGATAACCTGGATTTCCCTGGGTTGGAAGGATCTTGCATGGCGCGATCCATCTAAACAGCTTGTGGCAGTGTCTCAGGTTAGTCTCTAACCAGGGCTATGTCTTCCCTCTGAAGGGCACATTTATTTTATTTTCCCCAAATGCTGCCCTTCTGTAACGGAGAAAATTGCCTACCAGTCGTACAATGCAGCCCCAACAGGTACCTGGTAGATACCTGCCCAGCTTCCCACCTGCAGAAGACATTGCTCCTAGGCGTGCATTTTGAAAATGTCCAAGTCCCCAGAATATCCCTTTGAGAAACTCTAGTCGTCTTCAAGAGAGGTTTAAATGGGGCATGGGAGCTTTTCAAAGTCTGACCCCAGTTACAGATGTTCTGCCCTTCTGAAAGTCTGGCCCTTAAGTACTCATTTCTCCTTGACTTAATATCTCTCAGCATCTTGAAGAGAGCCTTTCTATGCAAAAGCAAGAGGCTCGTGGCGTGCAAAGGGAATAGTGAACAGGCTCTCACCTTGAATTGGCTTCCATGGCTTTTGTGGGGATGTCATACCCTTAAGGCCACACCAGAGCATTTCTGGGTTTCCTTTCTCCTGCCCATCGTAGCCCTTGAGCATGTGAGCATCTGTCATTTCACCAAAGACCGGCTGTGGCTTTGAGGACGTTCTCCTAGTGCCTTGTACATAAAACTAGGGACTAAGACCGTGTCTCTGCTTCTGAAGGTAAAGAGCAGCAAGGAGTACATGGCTGCAGTGGAAGGGGATAAAGCAAAAAGGAGGAAACATGAGGCAACCGACAGCTTCAGGGTGCACAGGTGTGTTTAAACAGTTCTCTCTGAACCTGGTGCAGATATCTGTCTGAAAACAATGGGGGAAATGAGGGACAGTCGTGACCCACAGGTAAGATACTGGGGGAAGACAGGACATCTGCTGAGGTTTCACTGCAGAGGTGAGACATCAAAAGGACTGCGTCCCTCTGATGGCGGTCAAGTGTCGCTAGCTTGATTTCCTTTCTTCCAGCGGGCCTGCCGTGTAATACGGACCCCCTTGAAGTCTGACTTCCCGGTCAGAGATTCCAGCCCTGTCTCCGGACCGGCAGGATCATCTCCCAAATGGACAGGGGAGAAGAGAGAGCGACACTTCAACCACTGGACCACTGCATCCGTGAGGGTAGGCGGGCTGCTTTTCGCACGAGGGTCCCTAAGAATGGGTCCCTTCGGTGCGATGTCCCATGGAAGGGGAGGGTCATATCTCCAGCTGTCACCAAACCATGTTGCTGAGCTGCCAACTATTTAACACGATTTAGGTACAATTTCCCTGAGATCAGTCACTGCCCCGGAGGTTCCTTCTCTCCCCCTGGATAGTTCACATTTGAAGCCTCGCCGCATCTTTGTCTCAGCAGGTTTCAAGAAGTTGTACCAAAACCAGCAGCTCTGTGATGCCACCATCGTGACCGAAGGACAGCGGTTCCCATGTCACAGGTAGGACGGTTTCGGCTCGTGTACGTCGTCACCTCTCGCGTTGCTTCGGTGGAAGATTCGTATGTAAAGACAACGATACCCTGACATCTCATCACAGGATAACTGTACAAATCTCATTTCTCTTCAGTCGGGTTTCTAGTTGGTTTAATTTGTCTCATGTTCTCCCAGAAAGTGAAGTTTGAATCGTCTGAGAAATCTTTTTAATATGTCTCTTAGCAAAGGCAATTCTCTGGTTTTGTCTCTGACTTTTTTTTTTCTGCAGGCCTTTTATTTTTTTGTAGGGCATGCCCCAATGTCAGATTTCTGTTTGACTCATTCCCAAAATCAAGAATTCTTTTGAAATTAAAATTAATTTCTAGCTACCTTCCTCCAGGAGTCTTCTGCTGTTACCGCATGCTCTTTCTTTTAGACTAGCTGTAATAGCACACAATTAAATGGAGTAATGGCCTTGTTCTGAATGTGTCGTTTCACCCGAGCCCGTGGTGTTTCACAAGGCTGATTCTCGCCCGCTAGCATGGGAGGAATAGCTCCACAGGGATCAGCGAGCTACACCAGAGCAGACCTGATCTGAGAGGAGAATAAACAAACCCTCGTCTTTAGGTCTTGCAATCTGCATTTTGATTAACTTATTTCATTCCTTGGCCTGTCTTTCAACTCTGGGCATCACGACTCTGGCAGGTGCATTCATAGCAGTCTAGTTAGGGCTGTTTCTTCATTTCCCCATACCATTTCTTGGCAGAAAAGCAAAGGTTATGGATGCCAATGGTTATATATGGTCGAATGGATATGTTAGTTAGGCATTAACCTACCCCCCTTTAATTAGGCGTGCCATTTCAGCCTCTTTTCATCTCATTCCTTTTAACCAAACTAAAATCAGAAACCAGGTCATGGTCTCAGAGAGAGAGACTAGTTTTGCTTTGTGCCGGTAGCAAGAGAAAGATTACTGAACAGGTGGAGGCAGGGAGGAGAAGACCAGAGCTCTGTTTAGCAATCTTGAAACCGAAAGGGAAAGGATGTGGCACGACAGAAACTCCAGTATTCAGTGCCTGCCAGTTTGGCTGCAGTTTTTCCTTTCATTTGTTTATCAAACTCCACACGTAGCCTGTGCACGTGCAGCCAGGATTTCCCCTAATTCTTCTATTCCTCTCAAGACAGCACCGTGCCCATTGACTGCGTCTTCTTTCTCCGCGCAGGATGCTGCTGGCTGCAGTCAATCCCTACTTCCGAGCCATGTTCGTCAACTCCTTCAAAGAGTCCCACGACGGCGAAATTCTGATGCATGACATGGACCCCTTCACCCTGCAAACCGTCCTGAACTACCTGTACACCGAGGAGATCTCCATCACGGCGGAGTCAGCCCAGGCTGTGTTTGTAGCAGCCAGCAGGCTTCAGATCCTCCCGCTCCTGGAGATCTGCACCAGGTAATAGTGATGCACATGCTATGTTGCTCTGGACATATGTATGGTTTTGGCTGGTGGGAGAGCTGTGTTAAGCCAGCGACGTGTTCCCCGCCACCTCTAAAGGAACTGGAAGGTAGGCACTTCGGTCTTCTGGGATGGCCAACGCCTTGGGCAACTTAGAGTCTCCCAGGGCTGGGGGACAAGACCAGGTCAGGAGTAGGAAGCTTTCCAGGGGTCATGCTGGTCCAGGGGTCCAGAAAGCTTTCCAGGGGTCATGGTCCAGACTGAGGCAGGGGCCAGGGAAGCTGGGAGCAATACAGACCTGAGCATCAACCAAGCAGGAGCCAACCGTGACAGTCAAGCAACAGCACCAAGACACTCAGCCAAGCCATGGGAGCAAGGCTGAATATATATTGTCTTGATGTCCTCAAGCCAAACAAAGCACTTAAACACCCATCCGCTGCTGCCTGGAGCCAGTCCCACAGCTCCCCCGGTGCAGCACCCCGACTGAAGTCGAGTGGCCCAAACGTGGGACTCAACAAGAGGAGTGATGCATCCTACCTCTACGTACCTGGTACGGAGACACCTCCGTGCCTTTTGACTGGGATTCGCAACCGCCTTGCTATGCAGAGAGGAAAGAAGTTGGGGCAAGAGTGGTTCTGGTGCAGTAATAAAGACCAGAACCAGAAGGTTTCCGGGGAAGGATGCGATTGTTTTCCAGCTCCCGATTGGGAGGGCATGGGGAGCGGGCTGCAAAAGGGAGCTGAAGCTTTAGAAAGGACTTCCAGGGTTGGAGCCTGAATCTCCAGGAGAGAGGAGTAAAGGCAAGTGGCAAAGACAGCAGAAGTGAGAGGGGCAGAATAAACCCACAGTGGAAGGAGCAGTGAAAGGCAAGGCGTAGGGCTGGGTCCTAACCTTTTTTCAGAGTGGGGCGCCACCGGTTTATGGAGGGGGATCTGTGATGCGGTGCCTGCGATAGAGGGGGGCTGCACCTAGTCGCTCCGGAGGTCCCGCTTGCTCCTATTTTCCTAAGTGATTTTCATGGTCTAGTCCCAGCTGATTTGCCCAGGCTCCGAGACTTGATGTCTAGGCCACTGACCATCAGCTTGGTCCTTTCCATAGGATGACTTTAAATCCCCGTCTTGTTATACAGTTATTCTGTCAGGATGAAGGGCTTATACAACAGTTCATTCTCGTGGTCTTCCTGTTAACACATATTCCAATTTTTCTCCCAGTTTTCTTCTGAAAGAAGTTTCCTTGAAGAACTGCGTGAAACTTTATGAGCTGGGCTATGCCCACAACGAACAAGCTCTGCTTCAAGCAGCCATGAGACATATCAGCCTGAACTTCAGGCGCCTTTTCGTGAAGGCCAACAGCTTCCGACAGCTGCAGCTCAGCTCTCTCATCAGCATCATCTCCTCCGACAGCCTCCTGGTCTCTTCCGAACTAGTCGTGTACTGGGTCGTCCGGCGCTGGGTGAGGTTTCAATCCTCCAAACGCCACCCGTTCCTGGGCGAGCTAATGAAGCACGTCCGCCTGCCTCTCCTCACCCACGAAGAGCTGCGGGAAGTCCAGCTCGAATCGGAGCATTACCGAGACATTCGGCTGCAGTGGAAGCGTCTCAACGGGCAAGAGCGGCTCCAGGAGTGTGGCGGGCTCAGGCAGGGGATGTACAACAAGTGCATTGTATGCGTGGACCTGTTCAACAAGGAGGGCCCGGAGCTGAAGATCAAGGACTCTCAGATAGGCTGCTACAACCCTCAGTCGGGGGCGTGGGAAAAGCTGCCCCCCCTGAAATGCTTGTATTGCGCGCGGTGCTTGGCGGTGAGAGACAAGCTCTACGTCACGGGGGGCGTCCACAGGGACTACTCGTATTCAGACACCCTCCACGAGTACAGCTCTTTCCGAGGCCAGTGGATACGGCTGCCCTCCATGTCCACGCCCCGCGCGTCGCACGGCTTTCTCGACTGCAACCAGAAGCTTTATGCCATCGGCGGCTGGTGCTGTTACGAGGGCTACCTCGACTCGGCGGAGTGCTTTGACCTAGCGAAAAAGGTCTGGGCGCCCATCTCTCGGCTGCCATTCACACTGAGCCATTTTGCTTCCACCGTGCTCAAGAACAAGCTGTATATAGTTGGCGGGGTGACCGGTGCCCGGGGCTCTTGGACCGCTTCCAGGAAAGTTTTGATCTACAAGGCGAGCTCCGATGTGTGGGTGCAGGTGCTCCTGGACTTCGAGTGCTGCTGGGCTGGAGCCGTCTCCATGAACAACGGGATCTGCGTGGTCGGTGGGTATTTCAGGAGCAGAGCGAGACATTACAACGAGGGGTGGCCTGATTCAGGAAGCCTTCACTGCACGAGGAAGTGTTTCTTCCTGGGCGAAGATGGCCGAGTGAACAAAGATGTTGCCATCCCAAAGCTGCCCGTTGAGATTGCTGGTGCCGGCGTGGTACGCTGGAAGAAGAGGATCTACGTGCTAGGCGGTGAGAAAACAAATCTATATACAAACCGGGATGATAAAAACAAAGAGGAATATTATAACACAATTTACTATTGGGAACCTGGAGATGCCCGATGGACTCAGTGCCCAGAAAGGCTCCCTTTTACCAACTGGGGTCTCAGTGGGTTTGGCTGTTCGACGCTGAAGGTACCGAAAAGACCTATTCTGTCTCTTTTCCGAAAGACATCCATTGCCCTGACAGCAGTTGAGTTAGCAGAGAGTTAGCTGCGTTTTAGCCGTCGACCGACTGCCTCATGCGTAGCATATCCTGTACTTAAAACTGCTTGCGTGAAAATCATTGGGCCGTTATTTTACTGTGTATCGACGTGGCATTCGGAGGTGTTGCATTGAAAACCAGCAGGCTGTTGCTGAAGGGAAGGATGCCTTCTGTTGGAGCCATGTTTTGCCCTTATTCATTGTGTACCTACATTACTGTCAGACCCGAACTCCCCCACCAAATTTTATCTATTAAAATATATTGAATATATTAAAACCAGCTAACAACACACTTCTTGGTGTAGGAGGGAGGGCTGAAGATCGTATTCAATCATATCCCAGTTGTGGAGTTAGCCTCCAACTGCTTGTGGCCTGCTTTACTTGACCAAAAGCCCAGAGAACTATTCTGGGGGTAGCTGGGATGTTGGGCTCCCAGGCACCTAAGTCACTTAGGAGCATCTGGAAATGTTATTAACTGTGTCTACAGCTGTTTCTCCTAGACATGCCCTTGCCCTTACTATTGAAACCAAAAGGTCAGCAAGGTTTGGTATAGTATGGGGTACCTGAATGGATAGCAAGAATATCCAGAGCTAGTGTGGAAAAAAATAAGTAAAAGGAAAAAAAAACATGTACATGGTCAAATCATCATGTGTACAAGCGCCCCAAGTGCTTTAGGTGCTGTTTCAGTTGTCTTGTGATCTTCCGTAGCTAGCTCATGTTAATTAAGAAACTTTTAATAATATTTAATATCAATTTTACAAAGCGTTACCTACTTATTGCCTAAACCCTTTAAAACACATGTACAATATTATGCTTGTTACATGTAAAAATGCTTGTCCCGGTATTTAAAAGTTCTTGATTAAGGTGAATGGTCGGATACAATCTCCCGCTGATCAGCTTTAGGACTGCTCGAGCATGTTCCCGCAACATCTTAAGGTTCATTAGTTGCACAGGGACACGGTAGATTCAGACAGACTCGCTTCAGTTCCAGTGATAGTTTCTTTATTCGACCTTAGCAGATGTCTGGTGTTCAATTCCCGAGTACAACGGCTCTAATGCTTGTTTTGGACCTGGCACAGATTACAAGCTTAGTAAAAGAATAGCATGCACACATTATCCATTGTAACATCACATTTTCCTTCAAAAGATTTCAACCCCAAGTCCTTGTCTTGGCTCAACTTTGATTTAGGAGAAAAGCAACTGGGATGATGTATTTCCCCTTCCTGTAGCCAGAATACAAGTGTTCACGATGCGTATAAACATTTTCCTGTGGGTATTAAGTCCTATGTTTTGTTACATAGCCCACGCGTGACAGGGAACATGATCTACCGCACAGATCTGCAGTGACTGAGCAAGTGCCCCAATGATGTAAAAGCGACTCGCTTTTTTTCCTTCCCTTGCTCACATGTTTGCAATGCACTGCTTTGTAATAGCGCGCCTTTATTCCTAATGAGTTGTTTGCATGGGAGCGAGGACCATTGCAGCTACTTTTTCAGAGACGGTTGGGAAGAGGTCAAGGTTGGGTGGGTTTTGCCAGTGGTACTCAGTTGGAAAACACCCAGCGTGCCATGATGGGGGGGTGGTACACCCTCAGTTGTCTTGGTAGCAATGACCGAGCACTGCGAAGCTGGGTAGCTGCAAGAAATTAGTGACTTGTCTTAAATTCTGGGCTTGAAGCCAGGGCTAGTGCCGGGGAGTCCTAGACCTGGCTCATCGCCTGGGCTACTGCTGCGGCGACCTGCACGGGCTGTGCTCCCCCAGTCACGGCGGCACTGGAGTCTTCATCGCTCTCCCGGGTGGTGTGGGACATGCCCGGCTCGTTTTGGCACATCCCAAATCACCGTGCAGACCTGAGAGGTCTCACTGATTGTATCTCCCTTGTGGCACCCCGTTGGGATTTCCACTTCTCCTTACGCAGCCGGGCTCCGCAGGAGACCCTCCGCGGCGGCCAGCTCTCCCCAGACCTTCACCAAAGGATGGTTCCCGGCATACAAGGAACTCTGCCAACCTCAAATTGCGCGACTCATTTGTCCTTTCCCTGGCAAGGGATTGTGGCTGCTCCTGCCAGACCTTTCCTCCTTCCCCACGCCAGGCCCTCACATCGGTTTAATGGATCGGAACAAATTACGATTGTGATATTTGTATGCCATGTACCAGTCCGATTCTTCCCTTCCGGGTCACCCTGCGCAGGGGATGCAAATGAAGCGGGAGACGATGATATCACAATGCCGCGCTCTGATACAGCAGTTGACATTTGCATAATACGTCGTCAAGTTCCAGCGAGTTGGGGCCGAGGCCGTAGGGGAAGCGCGTGCCCGCGGGCTTGGGTAGCACCGTAACAGGCTCAGGTATGCCATGGCACAAGTCATTTTAAGGTCAAGAGGGATAATTACATCATGCATTTGAATGCCAGAATATCACAGAGACAGAATTTCATCCAGGTATTGTGGGCTTGACTGTTCTTCCAACTCGAGCACGGGGGGAGGCAGGAGGTGGGGGTTGGCTGGCTCCCAGCACAACATTTTTTAGCTCCTAGCAGGACCCTCCCTGCCGATCCAAATACCATGCAGCCGGGCTCTCTCCATAGGGCTGCCTGGTCCTTCTTAAAGGGACAGACTGCTCTGTCCCATTCCCCCTTCAGGTATTTGAAATCTCCTCTCCTCAGTCTCCTCTTTTCCAGGCTCAAAACTCTATCCGAAGATGCATGTAAGCAAACAGCTTTATTAGGGTTTTATTTGAATCGGTGTAAATGGAAGAAAATGCCCTAAGGAAACCTGGACGTCTAGTCATGGAAGCGTATTTGTTCAGCCTCCCTTGTCTTGTGGAGCGGTGCCTCGAGTCTAAACAACGCTGTGCCCTCCTACTGACGCGGCTGCAGAAATCCAACAATTAGCACGGGGGTTTCATACATCGTCTCCTCTCCAGGGTCCTTTCATTTGGTTCGTCATGACCCTTAGCCAGAAAGGGGGCAAACAGAAGTCAAAGCCACTGGGCCTGAGCAAAGGTAGGTTGGCTGATCTTCATGGATCGGTAATCTTCTGGTTAAGCTTGGGGCGGCGGGTGCCGGCCATCCAGAAAGTGGTTGTGATGGGCCGAGCGCCGGGGCTCCTGTCACTTCTGCAGTGTGCCGTGCACTTGTAATTAAGGGGCAAGGAGGAACTCCTTCTCATTTTCTCAGCACGAGGGATCACTTCCTCCCCTTGAGATATTTGTATGCCATGTACCATTGCAGCTTTGCCTTTTCCTTCCCCAAATCCCACAGGTCTAAGGCAGCTGTACCAGCACCAGTTGCTCTGTGACAGCACCGTAGTGTGCGAAGGAAAGAGGTTCTCCTGTCACCGGTGGGTTTTTGCTTATTTATCATCTGCACTTAGCCCGTTAGACAGCAGGGACCTATGTTTGGTATTATCAAGGGTGCAGCACAGGCTGCTGCAGTGTGCTGGGTAAATCAGGCAAAGTGAGTGTTGACATGATTGGGCTTCCCTGTTGTGCGGCGCCAGGGATGGCACCGCCACAGGCAGGTGAGATGGGCCCTGAGTAACTGGTTCATGGGACTGCAAACTGGGCTGGTGGCCTGACCTCTGATGGTGGAACTGCTTCCCCCAGTGCTGCTCACTGGCAGATTTCTAGCTGCCTAAGTGGCATTTTGGGCATTCGTGCACAGGCAGTGATTGTACTTCCCTGGCAGGGTGCGTGTGTATAGGGTACATGCTGGCAGGGCATGTAGATGGCCACGTGTGCATACTCTAGACACACGACGTGGAGGACAGCTTCATAATATGGAGTGGTTAGTGCACCCACCCAGGAAGACAGAGGGAGGATGCAGATCTGGGTCTCTCACTCAGTGGATTAAAGTGACCTGACCAGGAGGCTAGTGGGATAAATCACAGATAGGTTTAATTCAGCATCCTGCCTCTCGTAGGTTTTTGCCAGCTACAGTCTGAGGACTTGCGGGACATGAGAGCACAGCGCTGTGTCGATGCCGAGCCCGAGCACAGCGCGACTGGGCAGGCTCAGTGGGGATGCACACGCTTCCATGCCAAGAGCTGACTCACAAACGGTGCACACGTGTCCGAAACTCCCAGGCATCCAGGTTGTAGCCGTATGGGTCTCGAGGCAAAAGAAATCAAAACTTATGGATGAGGCAGTATTTTTATTAGATCAACTAGATATTTGCAAACAAATTATTTTATTTATTTGCAAGCTTTCAGGCCCAAACGCTTGCAAATAAATGTATAATTTGTTTGCAAATATCTAGTTGGTTTAATAAAAGATACCACCTCTTCCACGAGTTTCAAAACTCCCAGGATCTCTCTCCTCACCAGGGTTGCATGCCTACCAGTAACAGATGTGATCCAGTAATATTGTTTCTCCACTCGCCGCAGAGCCGTGCTAGCTGCAGTGAGCCCTTACTTCCACGATGTGTTCACCAGCTCCCAGAAGGAATCCCCGAGTGGAGAGGTCCTGCTGCAGGACGTGGCTCCTTCTCTTTTCCAAAGCATTTTGACATATATCTACACAGAAGAAGTATCACTGACAGAAGAGACGGCCCAGGCTCTCTTTGAAGCAGCCGATAAGCTAAAGATCCTTCCTCTCGTGGACATATGTTACAGGTAAAGTGAAAGAATGGATAGCGCGGTGTCTGTGCTTCCAGACAAAAGACGCTTGTGCCTGGGAATATCAGTGGCATAACCAGAGGCAAGTCAAGGCAAGCATCAGTAATAGTTCATCTGAAAATCAGCACGTTGCAAAAGCTCGCACTACTCTGGATGGTTTTGGAGCATCCTTCTCATGAGAAGAGCTCTGCAGCCTAGTGAAGGTGGATGTTGGAGAAGACCATTATTATTTTCATCAGTAGCTCTCAGAGTTATCAGCTAAAAAACTCAACCGATCACTCTGAGAACTACTGATGACAATAATACCGATAGCTACCAGGCCATCTTCTCCAGTTGCTTTGGAGGAGATGGCTTGCATGGAGAAGATGGCCTGCATAAAGATAGGCCGTTTAGCCTGATATCTCTTTAGGGCAAATCATTAATAAAAAAAGATAAAGATTAAAAAAAGTGAATTAACAGATATGATTGTGATTGGTTTTTGTAGTCCCTCATTGGAGTCAAACAGCAGTTTGATTAAGAAACAGCACTACCTAAATTCCCTGGGTCACATAAAAGGGTTAAGAGTTGGATCTCAGCGTGTCATTGCTAGCTAGGGTTCACCAAGGAGGGAGGGGATTGCTGGCCAGTTTTCAGGGGTTGTTCTTGGTTCCAGTTCAAATATTTGCATCTAACCTGGAGAAAATACACCAGGCCTCTGTCTCCACGGCTGGCACTCACCTGGAAGAACTCACTTGCATGGCTGGCACTGAATCCATGTGAAAACACAGCTGCCACGCTGGCGTGGAAGCAAGAGGTTTCACAACCCCAGGAGGGGAAGATCTGTTCATGCAGGTTCCTCGTACACCGTGCCTCCTGACCCCTCACTCGCTTCGGCGTTCAAGCTACTACTGCCGGCTACTGGAACTAGTCCTTTAGCTCAGTGGTTTGCAACCTTTTTTGTATCAGGACCCATTTGTGACCATCAATGGCCAGTCCTGACCCAGTGCCCTTCACTCCCAACCCAATGCCCCCCATCTCCAGGCCCCAGACCCCCAGCACGTGGGGCAGGGGGTGGGTATGTGGGGCAAGGGAGGCCCCAAGCAGCCCCTTGCAGGCTGGACTTCTGCCTCCTACAAGGCAAAATCCATGGGTTTTCTCCTTTAAAGGAGAATCCATTTTTAAAGTTTGTGCTTGACCCCTTCACATATTCTTGCAACCCACTTTTGGGTCACGACCCATAGGTTGAGAAACACTGCTTTAACTCAAGCAGTAGAAGTCTATTCCTTGGTCCTGAGTTACTGGTTATGTGTATGACCTGTGGTGGGGCTGTGCCAGTCACCTAGGGCACGTCTACACGCGTGCTCTAATGTGCATGAGCCTATTTTAATGAGCATTAAAGCATCACTGGAAAAAACCGTGCTCTTTAGTTAATGTGCATTGAAATAAGCTAATGCACATTAAAGTGCCACTAAAAACTGTGAGCATTAAGATGGGCTAATGCTCATTTTCCTAGTACTTCACAATGGAGGTACTAGATTTAACATGCATTAATGTACGTGTAGATGCGCCCCTAACGATTATGGCCTTTGATGTTCCTCAGGTTTTTTAGGAAGAACATCTCCCCGCAGAACTGCTTTGCGCTTTACAGACTGGCTCAGGCTCACAGCGACCAAGCTCTTCTTCAGGCCACCGTGCGGTTCGTAATCCTCAACTTCAGCCGGTTCTGCGAGGATGACGACTTCTTGTACCTGGACCTGACGAGCTTAATCACCATCCTGTCTTCAGGGGACCTGGCCGCTGCTTCGGAGTTAGACGTCTTCCGGGCCGCGCAGCGCTGGGTACGGGCCCATCCCGGTACCTACCATTTCCTCGTCAATGCTCTGATGAGCCACGTCCGGCTGCCGCTCCTGACCGACAGCGAACTTGCCGAGGTTCAGGCCTATTTGGGACAGGTCGGGGATGTTCAGCTTCAGTGCAAACAGCTGGATGGCGAGGAAAGGTTGCGTGCAAGCAGAGGACTCCGAGCGGGCATGTACGACGAGTGTATCATGTGCATCAACACACAGATATTGGAGACCCAGGCGCCGGACACTGAAGACTCCTTCATGGATTGTTATGACCCTTGCACCAGGACATGGAGAAAACTACCAGGCCTGACATCCTTGACCCACCCAGCCTGCGCGGCACTGGGGGACAGGCTCTTTGTGTCCGGAGGCATCCGCAGAAACTCTTATTCGGACGCTCTGTATGAATTCAGCTCCTTCAAAGGCAGCTGGGCCCAGCTTCCTTCCATGCTAGTGCCGCGTGCTACCCACGGGTTCCTGGTCTGCGACCAGAGGCTCTACGCTATGGGAGGGTGGTGCGGGTTTCACGAATTTCTCAGCTCTGCCGAGTGCTTTGACATAGCAGAGGGGACGTGGACTCCCATAGCGAGAATGCCGTGCGTCTTGAGCCGCTGTGCTGCCGCAGTCTTGGGGAAGAAACTGTACCTGCTTGGAGGAGTCACCGGCCTGACCAGTTATTGGCAATTCCACAAAGGGCTTCTGATCTACGACGTTAGCAAAGACGCGTGGACGCAGGTGCTTCTGGACGCGGCGTTCTTCTCCGCGGGCGCGGTGGCCATGAATAACGGGATATATGTGGTTGGGGGCTACACAGAGAAAAGAGCAGGAGAACGGATCTACGAGGGGGGCCTCATGCCCGAGAACCGCTACTGCAGCAGAAAGTGTTTCTTCCTCGCGGAGGACGGTAGCGTCAATCATGAGATTGCCGTTCCCAAGCTGCCGAAAGGAATTGCCTACGCTGGGGTAGTCGGCTGGGGAAAGAGGATCTATGTCTTAGGCGGGGAAGATACCACGCACTGCTACAAAACTATTTACTATTGGGAACCCGGGGAGCATAGGTGGAGTAGATGCCCCGATGACGTCCCTGTCCCCGAAGGTGTCAGCGGGTTCGGGTGCACGACACTGAAGATACCCAAGGAGCGAATGCTGTCACTTTTGCAAGAGACATCTGTAGCCCTGATAGCCGTTGTTGGCAAGTAGCTGCCTTTAGAGGTTTCTTTCTAAATAAAAAAGACTGGAGCAAGACAGCTGTAGGCGAAGGGCTGAGCACAGGGCGCGTCTACACCTTCACTAATGCACTTTAATTACTGCGCATTTAGTTTAGTACCTCTAATAAGAGGCAGTAACTGCATGCGCAGTAGTGGCAGCGCGTGGTTTTTTTCGTGATGCTTACTGTGCATTAGCCTAATGACTGCACAGTCGGCTATTAGCACAATTAATAACCACTACGCTACTGCACAGTGTTATTAGGCTAATGCACAGTAAGCGTCTCATGTAGATGCGCCCACAAAGTAGGGGAAAACACCCTAAGTACATACCTATTATTTCCCCGCCCCTTGTTCACTGCCATGGAGAGGCGGCTGCTGTCTTGGGTTCCTTTCCAGGTAAAATAAATGAGGCTCCATCCTTCTCAGTAGCCCCTCAACTGTCTTCTGTCTATCCCGAAGCCACCTTCCAACAGCCACTTCCCAAGTGAGAAGCCGAGGCAGCGTGGCACTGGGAAGGGGATCACCTTGACCACTTCACTGAGGATGTGCCATGCGGACGACTGTGTGGGGTTCACATTTATGTTTCCTTCCTGGGCAGCATCTGCTGCACCCTCGAACACCATTGTCCGCTCATCCAGTGCAGGTTCTTCAGCAGGGCCGAGACGAGCAGGTCCGCTTTGCTGCTTTCCGGCGTGACACGACAGGGCCCCGCTAAGTTGCAAAGCAGAACAACGGGTGGGGACCCAGCTGCATCTGTACGGCACTTGGCAGTCAGTCTCGTGGCTCGCAGTGGGTCGGCGTTGCAGTGTCAAATGATACGATTCCCCCCCTTGCACTTCCTGGGACAACTTCCCGGGACAGCTGTGCATTCGCAGCTGCAGGCTGAGTGCCCGGGCAGCAGGTGCCAATACTTTTTGAGCTTCTGTTAGGACTTGTACTCAGTGTCAGGGGTGTCACCCACTAAAAAGAGCTGTTGCATATGTGCTGCACTTGTTCTGCATCCTAGGAAAGGAGCCTGCAGAAGTGATGCTGCGTGGCGGTGATCTGTGACCAGCGGAGCCTGGCTTTGCCCCATATAAGTATGGCTTAAATTTCTCCCCTGCGCCCCAACCGGACTATTTATGCAGTGCTCTCCTCTGCAGCTGCAAGTGATGGCAGTGCAAATGCTATGGGCCAGGCCGTGCCAGCGAGAAGAGCCCCGGCGCCGTGCGAGGATGCCCCAGACCCTAGCCGATGTGAGCAGTCTTTGTGTTTCCAGGGAAGCTTTGTGACATGCATGGCCAAACGCGCTTGTGGTTTGTCTTTAGCAAAGGACGCATGCAATGCAGTGGCTAGGTTTGGCCGGCTCTGCTGCACCTCGCTGCCCCACGCCGACATGGCCTCCCTCCAAAGAGGGCTTTCCAAATGATGACACCACTTCTCCCACCCCCATGCCCTGGCTGCCAGCTGCTTCCAGTTGAGCTGGGACCGGGCACCTGCAAATGGCATTTGCACTGACACTGCCTCTTCCCTGCTCCCCTTTCCAGGTATGAGTGATGTATGCCACCAGTTTTAATCCAGAAGAAAAGTGTGCCCCAAGTATCAGAAGTCTGGGCCACACCGAGCTAAAGTGTGCAATGATCAAACCATTTCCCCAGCAGTTGCTGCCCTCTAGCGATCCCATGCGGGTAAGAAGCAAGAGGGAAGGGGAAAGACGCACCTTGTCCTTCACAAATATAGATCTGCCGGAGATGTATTACATGCAGGACTGCGGGGAGTCCAGACACGTGGTGGGGTAGCAATGCCGAGGCCGGGCATCTGTGTTTGGTGCCATGCTTGCTCACCGCAGAGCTCAACAGCCAGAGCATGAATTTGGCCAGGTCTCCACTCACTCACCTATTAGAGCAATTCTCACCCGGGGTGCCTTGAGATCCTTTCAAGGGTGTTATGTCTTGTCAGCTCTGCTAAGGGTGCAGACAGGACAAACCTAGAGATTTCAAACAGGCGTCTGTATCGCTACAAGCATTCTGCCCTGCCGGGGTCTTTCTGAGGTTTTTGCAACACAGGAATTGCTCTAGTGTTTTTCTGTAGGCAAAAAGCAAGTGAGGGGGCCTCGTGTCGACATGAGGTGCCTGGAGTCGAGGAGCACCGGCCTGTTATCTCCCGAGTGGAATTTGGTGTTGATTTTTAACCTCAGATGCCTCAATAGCATAGGGCTTTCTCATTGGACTGATGCCTCTCTCACACCGCAATGCCAGTTTGGATCTGTATGTCCTTTCTGAATTAAGATTGCACTCCATGGGTCAGATCTAGTTGTGCAGGCTCATGCGGTTTGTGGCACCGCAAACCTCCTTGCAGCACCACAAACTGCACGTGTTGCATGTTAAAACTCTGTCCCCTGCTGCTAATTTGCAGAGCTGGGGCAAAATTTGCTACTGGGATTTCCCAACAGCAACAAAAATACCCAGAAAAAAAAAAGCAACGCAAAGCATGCCAAAGTGTCACATGCCACGTCCCAGGACAAACGTGGTAGTCCCAGGTAGCCCAGGACTGCCTGCTCCCTCATTTCCACGTGCTGAGGCGCCTTGTGCCCCAGGCGGCCTCTCCCTGCAGCACAATGTGTCCTGCTGCAAACTGCACATGCAAGGGCATGCACCACAGCACAAAGTAGCGGCACACGTGTGCCACTCCTATTTGTGTTGCTGCAAAGGCACACCCCTGCTCATGTGGACACGGCCATGGGGTCTTTAAGGATTCATTTTTCCCAGCCAAAAGCCAAAACCCAGCTTTGATAATCTCCTGGGCATCCCAAAATGGCAACCAAGCTGCACCTGTACCACCAGGCTCTGATGCTTCAGAGCTTGTCACACCTGGGGATACCCGTCCCCCCAGTCGGGGGGACCATTGCCCTTAGATGGTACAGGGACCTTCTTTTCTTAGGTGCTTGGCTGATGTGTCTTCCTTATGGATTTATAAATGACCTCAACCATTGTAGCCAGTAGAGATTAGTCTCAACGAACAGCTCTACCAATGCAGCAGCCTCTGAGGACTGTGTTAAGATCATGGTAGCTAGCGAACAAAGGGAGAAAGGAGAACAGCAATTAATGGACACAGCGGGCGGGGCAGAAATTAGGCCTAAATGATGAACAACCGGGCAACAATATTCTGCCCATCATTTCCTCCTGTGTTGGCAGTTCCCAGGTTGTTTCATAAAGTTTAAGCAATTTGGACGGCTTTGCTCAGAAAACGAACGAGAACCTCACCGTAAAATAAATCGACGCCTGCTCTGACGCCACGTGCCTCGGGTCATAAATGTGATGGTAACGCAGCGACCCTTCCCGGGGAAAGGCGTCTGTCCGATGGCTATTCTGCGGCGCACACGTGGGCATGTTCGTGCGCCTCTTGTACGCAGCGGCTAGAGGAACTCATCGCCCTGCCCATCTCCATCACTAAAGGTCAGGGAGACTCTAAAACGAACGTCATTTGGGGCAAGGGCGCAAACACGCCTTATCTTTTCCCAAGCCTTTTCCACCAGGGCCCACGCTACCCGGGCACATGGTTACGTCCCGTTCGCAGGCGAGTGGGTCAGACGGGCATTCCCTCTACTTTTCACCAGACTTGTATGACTCTTTATAGTCTGACTACTTTCCCAGGCTACCAGAGGCTCATAAATGCTGAGATTGGCTTGGGTGTGGTTGATCTACCCTGTCAATAAGTAGCTAACTGTGAGTCCATAGGGTGATTATCAGATGGCAATAAATTTACTTGGATTAATGAATTACCAAGTAAATGTTGTCTGCAAGCTTTATAAGGCCTTCCTTTGCTTTGGGAAGGTATGGCCCTGGAGGCGCGAAGATCTGAGGCTCAGAAGCCAAAAGAAAAAGAGCTGGAGAGACACAGAAGAAAAACAAGAGACTAAAACCAAGAGAGAAAAAATAAGATTTTTTGAGAAGAAAAACGCGGGGTCCTGCCGGTGCCATGAAAGGCTTCACTTTCCCGGCGATGCTTGTGCTCGTGGTGTTTATACACAGCGTCCGGCCTGTCTACGTCCAGGTGAGATCACTGGCTCTCAGACATTTCTTTTTTATTACTACTAGGTCAGCACAAAGTATGTGATAGCAGAGCGCACGGTTAGAATAAAATTAAAAACTACGCACACCCCACCCTCATGGACTCAACTCCTTGCTTAAACACTTTGCACAAATACCGTGTCTCTCTCCGGGGGATTCAGAGTGTTTGTGCAAGAAACGTGCGTCTCCAGACCTCGGCGGACCTCTCTCTACGGCGAGCGTGCGTCTGTTGATAAGTGAGCACCGGGGAGCGCACGTTTCTTACACGAGTGCTCCGAATCCTCCAATGAAAGACACAGTATTTGTGCACAGTGCTTACTGGCCCACTGTCATGCATCACATTAATTACAGGCTTTTCCTGTTTTATAAAAGAAGCTGAATTTCTTTTTGGCACAAGGGACCATGTGGCCTCACTAATTAGTCTGACTTTGGAGGAGCACACCCCTGAAAAAATCTGCTGGGTTTTGTGTGCAAAGATCTCCGCGGAGGTAGACTGAAGAAAGCAATGGCTAGGTAGGGTTACAGATGCGTAGCAGTGGGTCTTAGACCAAACCACGGGGAAACAGGACACGATTAGCTGTGCGATCCCATGCATGTAGACTAGGCGTGGATGTGGACAAGTCTTGGAAAGAGCTGACACTGGGGGAAGAAAGCCTGGGAGCTGAGCAGTGAGAGCACTCGCCCGGGAAGGCAGGGCCCAAAGGCTCCAGGCCCCTTCGCTCAATGGCATTTCAAGGGAAATGAATCTCCAAGGCTGCATCCAACAGTTGCATCCATGAAACAAATGTTTTTTTGAAGGCTTCAGCTTTCTTGAAGGATTCAACTAACTAGCACCCCCGGCACTTGGTGTTATTAAGTGAAGTGGAGCTGCTGCTGCTGCTGCTTGCACACTACAGTATCTAATGCACCAGCGAGAGCAGAGTCAGCCTGAAAATACTTATAT